TGTGGTAACCAAAAACATCGGGAGGTCTCGGGAGAAATTAGGCAAGATACTGTGATTGCTGAAAAATTAACACAAAGTCGCAGCTGTATGATAAAAGCTTTAAAAAGTTTTTTCAAACCACATAAAGAGAAGAACTAAAAGCAACTCCCCAGGCAGGGCTGAAATAGATGCATTGTATCTGCTGAGGCTTAGTCCTGTAGTATTTGGCATAATTTGAAAGTTGAAGTTACTTTAAAATTGATAGCTGTTTCTAAAAAAAAATTCTTGAAAAACAACTTCAGATTCTGTTTCCTGAAAGTGCAAAAGTTCCAGTAAGTACAGTAGGTTTCCTTGTTTTCATGTGTTAATTCTGGTATTCTAAAAGCGTGCAAATGGCATTTGTCTTTGGATTTACAAAAACTCTAGATATTCAGAGTTTGAATTATTTAAACTCCCACAACACATGCACTTTTGCTTTTCAAGCTTGAGTTATAATTTAATTAAAAACTTCTGGTGCATCGCTAGCTATTTAAATATTAAAATGTTCCATGGATCACTTTCGATTATCTACCGTCATGAAATTCCTGAAGATGTCAGATTTTTAAGATTCCCAAAGTTGCACTTGGAATTGTCTGTTGATGCAAAGGGGACTGTGATAATTACATACATCCATTAGTATCAGCAGAGGAGATAAACTTTGGGGAGGCTTAATGGGCATGTCTCAGTGACAGCTAGCAAAGAACATTTGGCATGATTAAGGATGGATTTGAATGTACTTGAAAATATACTCTCATTATGGACGCCCAGTGGAAGTTGCACTACAAATGTTAAATTCCCCAGAAGAAGAGTTGTGTGGCAGGGAAGCTTTGAAATCCACTGTGGCCGTCATCCAAATTACTCTCTTCTCTTTGTGTCTTTCCGCTGTCAGATTCACTTTGTGATGCCCAACTTGGCTCCCTGCATCTTTGAAAAGAGGCAACCTGTTGGTTTCTCTGTTTCAGATTGTCCGAAGATACATCAAGGACTGGCTTGAAAGGAAGAAGCCTCCATTTGGCGCTATCAGCAGCTGCGTGCTCCTGATGATCATCTACACAACATTCTGTGATACTTTCGCCAATCCAAATATTGACCTTGATAAATTTAGCTTGATTATCATAGTGTTCATAAGTAAGTTCAGCCTTAAAGCATCTCTTTTAGCTGCGTTTCAAGCGTGTCGTGAGCTGCGTGTACTGGGAAGGGTGGGACTGCAGGGATACTGGCATGGGGCTAGAGCTTGCGCTTTTAACGCATCTAGTAAACCAGATTACCAGGCTTTTTAGGGCTGGATGCTTTTAGGAGATTGAGCAAGCATTTAGAGAGGGATGAGCCCTGCTATTTACATGTGCCTGAGATCGCTCAGTGATCCTCCCTTTCCAAAGGGGCACGGTATTACTTTCCAAGCGTTAACGACCATTCTGGTTTGGCTTTTTTGTTATTAAGCAACATAAATGCACAGATGTTGCATTCCAAAAAGAAAGGAAAGATCTGGGCTCGAGCTGTTGCTCAAAAGCACTGTTAGAACTTTTGAATAGTTCTTCCTTACCATATTATAAACCTAGAAACTAGTTGGGAGTTCGAATGTGTTGATATATTTCTGTGGATGAACACATTTCTTGCAGAGTTTGTTTTAGAAGCACTCTAGTCATTCAGCCTTAAATAACATACACATGAGAATAGACTGCTGGTATCCTTGCCATCAGTTAAAAATACACTTGCAGATCACTGCCTCCCAGGAAAAGGCAGCGGTATACAGGCACTGTCTCCTCTCCCAAGAGGGAATACCCGTCTCGCTTCAGACTATCTGGAGACAGAAGTTGCAATTTGCTTGGAGGAGAGGTAACCACAGTATACTGCAGTATAAATCACATCTCACACACTCTAAAACTGTTAGACTTCAAGAAATCAATGCATCACCTACCTTGAAGTGTGTGTATGTGCACTTGTTTCTGTCTAGTAAAAATAATATATCTTCTATAAATCCAACCTCCACTAAAGCCAGTAGGAAATTTGCCCCTGCCCATTGTAGGTCAGTTCTTATTCCATCCTAATTGTGGCATTTTCTTGGATTATGAAACGCTCTAAGTGTGTAAAATACTACGTGGAATTATAAATGCTACGGTATGAATACTTTACTCTGAAAGCAAACAAGAAGGAAGCCATGCTAAGGAGCTTTTTTCCAAAATGGTGGAAATACTTGTTTGCATAGACACCTGAGAAAGGACCACATCCCAGATGCTTTTAAATCAGTGCAGATTTGTCGGCAAAAAAGATGGATATGGAAATTTTCAGTTCTGACTTAACATGCAGAGAAACTCAGAATGAAGTAATTGTATGTTACTGTGCTGACCGCTACTTTGGAAAAAAAAAAAGTTCTTTTTTAGTTAAAAAGGCATGTTCTTCCTTGAGTAGTTGGTGTAGAGTGGTTGCTTCCATTGCCTTTCTTATTCTTTCTTTTATTTTCTCTGCAAGACAGCTCTGCATTTGTGCCATGTGTAATTATATATACCACTTGCAGTGCAATACACTGAAAATTGTTATATATATGTTTTCATTGCCAGCGTGCATAACTGGAGTTTTATTAGTAAGAATATTAATATAAGCATTGAAACTTCTTGGAACATATTAGACATTTGTTTTTTTTCTAAAATATTTACAAAACCAAAAAACAAGTTGTGAAGATGGATATGCACATTGTATTCTAGAAGAAGTTTCTGTACCACCGTTGGATGTGTTATCTGGATGTGTGTGTTCCACCAGGATGTGAAATTAGCATGAAGAGTTTGAGATAAAACTGAATTTATTATTTTGCTGATTAATGTTTTTATGTAATTGTTATGTTAATATTCTAGCCACAGCAAAATGTACGCAAGGGATAATTGGTAGCAACACATGCTTATTGCTTTACAGAATTATACGTATTAAGGGATTTTTTTTTTCCTGTGCAAATTAAATTAATGTACTTCGTTGCAGAAAAATTGTAATTCAGGAACAATGGATTGGTTCCTTAGTTCATGAAGGAAGAATTAAATACATGCTGTGGTGACATTTATACGTCCTAGGAAATATATGTAAGAGAATGAAAAATGTCGCTGGTAATAGCTTATATCCCTGCCATGTTTCCCAGTTGTAAACTGGGGTCAAAATCAAACGTATTGGCTTGGCTTACACTACCCTATGGGACACGTCAGCCTTATTGCATTCACAAGTTTTGCAAGGAAGAGGGAGAGGACCAGCCCCAGATTCTGCTGTGAGTAAAAGCCCTTCCCCCATAACCCACAAACACCAGAAAAGGTCTGTGCAGGTCAGAGGGTTTCTCCTCCAGCTCTGCAGGGAGTTCCTGCACTCCGGCACATGCTCCATCTCTGCAGTCCCAGCAGCTACTCACAGCGCAGCGGGGAAGCCGCTTGCTTCTCCCCACATCTCCCCAGACCAAGGGTGGGCTCTGTGCACCTCAAAACCCTTGTGGGTGTCAGGAGAGCTGGCAGAGAGGAGACCTCTCCTCAGAATGCTCAAAAACCATCCGTACTTTTACAAAGCTGACTGAGCTTGAATGAAAGCTGCTTTGTCTGATGTATGCTGCCCAGTTCAGGAATTAGCCTTTGTCTCAGAGAGGATTAAACCACCTATGATGATCTTTCTTTTAATAGCGATCATTCATCGGGAGGGTAGTATACCCAGTGCGTGAGAATATTTCTTGTGATCGTGCTTACACGTTGTACTTTCTCCTGTTAAATAGGAAGGGGCTAAATTGAAATACTTGGCAACCAGAGCATGTCTGAGAGATTTTTATGTTGTCAACCCAATAAGCAAAACTAGTGCAAACAGATGTGCAGCATGCCGTGGTGAACTTTCCTGCCGTTCACCATGTCAAGAAATGCTTGATTCAAAAGAGTTATCTCAGTTCAGAACACAAGTTCTTCCTGAACTTATGTAGCCACAGTATTAGCTCTAGCTTTCTTGAACGTAATGATACATATTGTTCTTCCAGATGTGATTGTCTTTAAAGATTGTCTGTCTTTGGATTTCACTGGATAGACTTGATCCAATCTGCAGAGATTGAAGCGATCTTTACTTCTGTGATCTGAGTCTAATTTTAACTTTTCTCTTTCAGTATTTTCAGTTCAGATGAGCTTCATGTTTTTGACTTTCCTCTTCTCTACAAGGTAATGGAATATGCTGAATCAGAAGCTTTGAATATTTGTTTTGTGTGATATCTTTGGTTTGGGTGATACAGTTTATGCGAATGTGTAAGGGCAGGTTTCTGAATAGGGGTGACCTCATTTTGGTATTTCATATTGTCCTTACTGCATTTTCTCTGTTAGAGTTTCATAGGCTGAGAGAGCAGGACCTGAATTCTGTCCTTTCTTGTGTGTTAATTACAGAGTTGTTAAATCTCAATCAATCACTGCTATACCTCATCCACTGAAAAAAATGGATTTGCACAGATGTCACTGAAGGTATAATTTGCCCTGCAGACATGCTGATGACATATGAGAGAGAGAACTCAGTTTGACTTTTTACATCTCAAGATACATGTGCTGGGCTGGCAATTCAGTCTTTTCTGTATATGTCAAATGTGTTTCGTTTATATGGTGATTCTTAAAAGACAGTTGGCCTGAACTGGTGTTTGGTAGAGCTATTTTTATATTATTATTTTTTAAATATCAACCAGGAAGAACAGTTGTACATTCACTTCTCAACAAATAGTACCGTGAGAATGATGTTAGCCAATGGCTTAGTGATACTAAGTGGTAGATACTTTGACCAATGGTCAAAGTATCTACCATTGTCTTCTCGCTTAGGCTTACTGAAGTATTTTTCTTAGCAGCACTCTTCTGAATAAGAATTCTCACAATACAGCAGACTTCAGGCATATGCTTTATATAAATTATAAAGTATCTGTAAGGGAGTATCACAAAGAAGGGTGCAATGTCTTAGAGCTACTTATGCTTTTTTAGTGTCACAAGAAAATTTCTCTGTGACAAGATCATACGCTGACCTTAGAAGGCATTTTTAAATAACTTTTGAACTGCTAGACCTAACCTGGGGGACAATATGTCCCAATTGTAAAATCTAAAATGCTTTAAGTAGTAACCAACTCAGGCAGTATAGTAAATGTTTAGAATCTCATAAAATGATTCCTAATTAACCAGTCATATACCTCTCTCCGTATGTCATTTTTCCATCCTTCTTGGCCTTGCTCCCAGTGTGTAAATCCTTAGATGCAGTTTTTCTCTGAAGTGGAAGGTAACTACATATTCTAAGCAGTGCTCATAGTGTAGACTCAATATACTATCTAAATTGAGCATTTTGTTAACATTACATGCTAGGAAAATAAGTCGTAGGTCATTCTCTTTTTTTACAGAGGCAAGGTGGCCACTGATGTGATATAGCATGTTTGCAAAAATAACCTTGACTGGAATAAAGTTGTGTCCTACATACCATGTGTTCAGAATTCCTCTCCTTTACACAGGAGCGTATTCGTTAGAGAGTTTGCCACAACTGAGAAACAATTCTACTTAAAAAAAAAAAAAAATCAAATACTCCTGTTCATTTGTGGGTAGAATTATTTCTGTCACTAGACCTGATCGAAGTGATGTGAATGTGCATATGGATCCTCAAAGTAATATATTTGATCGATGATGTTTTGAGAAGGTTTGTGCTATCAGAGGTTATTAAAACTCTTTCTTTTCTAGGAGTAACTCTAGTTTCACACCAGCAGACACAGTGGCCATCATTTTCTGTTCCACACACAAATCCCTCACCCTGGGTAAGTCAGGAGATAAGCTTTTGAGCATAACAGCAGTAACATTCATACCTTGCTGTGTTGAAAAAAATGTTGGTTGCTGGCTTTTCTGCTTAAATAGTTCTGGGTTTAGTGTGACAAGTAATGCTACCGGTATGATACTAATAGTAGAATAATATTCTTGCACAGATAATATAAATGCTTGTTACAGGGCAGACAACATAGTCTTCACAGCTGAGATTTTAGTGGTTATACAGTAAGACCACCTTATTTATGGAAAGCTGAATTTTTCTTTCTATTCATATTCGGTTCTGTTGCCTAATCCAATATTGATAAAATTTCAGGTTTGTTACTGAAAACATTGTAAGGTATATCTGCCGAGTCTCACAGTAAAATCTTACACCTGAAAGCTGAGGTGTACAAGTGAAAATCAAAGCATGTAGTGTATTCAGAAATCACAAATAGACAATACTGTCTTTTCCTTTGCATGAGCAAAATGTATATGTTTGTTTCAAGTCTGCAGATATTTTTGGATAGTTTTATTTATTAGAATTCATTTTTCAAAACATCATTGAGATCTTTGTCACTTAGGACCCCGTAGTGATAGTAAGATGTGCTGATGGAAATTGAGAAAGTACTGCTAAATCAATTATGCTTACAGCCACTTACTATTGCTTCATCCGTTACATTCAGTCAGTGAAACAACTAGTATTTGAGTATTTTCTTACTGTTTTTCAAAATATGAAAACGTGTTTGATAAAGCATATGCGACTGAATAAATGCCTGTTCAAGACTGTATCTAACAAAGAGAAACACAGCTGGTGTCAATAACAAAGGTAAGAACTCAGCCTGAAACAGGGGAAGAACAAGTCGGGGCTTAAGTGAGATGTTTTCCAAGTCAGTTTGATATAGTGAAACTCATCTCAGGGTTCTTTGCTTCAGCCAGGCCTGTGCTGCAGAACTGTTAGAAAGTGCCCTTGAAAGTCTGTGGGAAGTGAAGGAGTTCCTGGAAGACAAGAAAAAGGCAAACATAATGCCTCTTTTTCACAGTGGAAACGAGGAGGGGAAGAGGCATTATAGATCAGTGAGTTTAACTTACTTTTGTAGAAAACTACTGAAACAAATAATTAAATAAATTATTTTAACAGTGTAGGAAGAAACAAGGATACGAGTAACAGCCTTGTAGATTAGTCAAATGTGTCTCGTACCAAACTAACCTAATTTCCTTTCACGCAAGGTCCTGTGGGTTGCAGAGAAGTAGCAAAAGTTGTATGGCGTGAGAGTATTAATGGCTTTTGACGTTTGCATGATGTTTTGGGCTCCACAGTTCAAAAATTGTGTGGACCAACTGGAAAGAGATCAGAGGAGAGTGCCATGAATGATCATAGGTCTCAAACACGTGACCCCAGAAGAAGGTTGAAACAATTGGTATTGTTGAGAGAAGACAGTTGAAATACAGTAGTGATCTTCAAATGCATAAAAGGTTGATGCAAAGAAGGAAAAAAGCAACTCTTCCACAGCAGACTTTGAAAAGGGAAGGACTTTGTTACAATGATGATGATGATTTAAGCTAACAATCAGGGAAATCTGTCTCATGTAAAGCAGTTTAGCTTTGGAATAAGTTGTCTATTGATGTCTTGAATCTCCTGTCATTGTAGACAAGCCTCAGACAGGAATTAGATGGCTAGAGGTGATCCTGCCTTGGAGCAGAGCATAGATTAAATGACATTAGGTCTTCTTCAGCCAAATGTTGTATGAAACTGAAGCTTCAACTAATAAATGAGCTTGTATTCAGAAGGACAGTTACACTTGTATTTATAGAAAGCAACCACACATGCAAGTCATAACGCACTACCGTGCTTGCTATTTGGAGGTGCATTTAAACTTGGAACACAACTGTGATACTACAGAAGAGAAGTTGGTTGTATTTAACAGCACAAATGTGAATACTTCTTCAGCTTGCTATGACACTAAGAAAATAAGCACAAAGCCATTTTTTAATATGTAAGTCCTAGAGGGGCTTACTGTCACCCAGAAAAAAAAATGAGGACTCTTCATTTCTTTTATTTACTCTACCAAGCAGCCTCATGCAGCCCCATCTTGACCTGCACCCTATGCACACAGCTGAGTCAGTTCACATTTCTTCTGCTAGTATGCTCTTCTTTTTATATTTTATTATCTCCTTTAGAAGAACCTAGTTTGAGGTTCCTAGCTCGCTTGACTATTTTGGCTCACTTTTTCCCAATTCCAAGTTACTGCTTTCATTGGCACAGCCTGATGAGTCAAGCTTTTGTATTTTGCAGCTTTTTTTGCCTGAGCATGCCAACAGAAATACTTTGGCCTCCTTGACTTTAGGGACTCCTACAGCTTCTTCCCAGCCATACATACATACACACACCCTGCTAATACAGATGTCTCATGGATAAGTGCGCAAGCTGAAATGAAACAGGCAGATGGTGGAATGCAGTATTGCGGGACTGTTTCTCAGCTACAGACTGTTCCGTTTGTCACCTTCAGGACAGAGTGCTTTACCTTCGTCCTTGAAGAGCTGGTGTCTCATGGAAAGCAAGTTTGCCTCCTAGGAGGCTAGTCACAAGACGTAATTCGTTCTTAGGTTTTGCGCTCTTACACTACCTTTCCTTACTGCTCAGGGCCTGTGTTGAGATCACTGGGTGGTTGGGACTTATGCTTCCCTTGCTGTATTCCATCTCTGGTGCTCAGCTTGGTGAAGGTTTCTTTGAGGCTCCCAGGCTTGTCTTGCCTGGGGCCAGCACCACCCCTGATGGGGAAATGCTCTTTTTGGCAGTCCCTGGGAGCCCGTCTTCAGTAAGGCTGAGGGCGCCGCTGCTCTCACGCGCACCCTACGTAGTATGTCCGCTGTGTAGTAGGCATGTGTGCTGGCTGTCGCTTTGATGCTGGCTGGTTTTGAGACCACTGCTGCTTTACTCCTTTCAGTATTAATACCAGGTCTGAATAAGGTAGAGCTGCATAAACACACATTTCTGTGTAAATAGGGAGGATCAGGTTTTATAAAGCTGTAGTGTGATGAGGCAAGCCACTGAGCTGGTGATGTAAACTGGAACGTTAGCCGGAGCAGCTAGCGTTTATTCCTTCGCTGAAGGCAGAAGCACAGTAGCTCTAACTTGTTTTTAAGGATCAACCATTTCTGAATGACAGTTAAATCTACCCGCAGTAGAGTCTTGTCCACCTTGATCTTAGCAGAAACAAGAACAGACGTAGGCATTTTGGCCCTTACTCTTTTGTTGTTCTGTCACATTTCTCCTTGTCCAGAAGTGTTTGCTCAAAACCATGCAATGAGAAACCTCCTGTTCTCTTGTAGCGGAGAGAGTTTTTCCCTCTCCCTCTGTCATGGCAATGCCTGAAAGCACAAACACAGCTCAGGGTCTCGTTTCACATCCGTTGCGGAGCTCCGCTTTGTTTGTCTTCAAGATTCCAGTGGTAGTGTATAAATGACCCCCCAACACTTGTTCTTTCGCTTTGAAACTGATTTCTCTCAGCTTGGCAGGTGAAACTCCAAATAGGTACGTCTGGCCCGTTCCCTAGGGAGCTTAGAATGGCACCGACTAAAGTGGGAGAAGAGCTGACAGCTTTAAAGCTTTAGAAGTGGTAATAGGAGAGGCATGAGAAGACTTTTATAAGTCACTTTTTCCCACACCATATTATGAAACCAACTAATTCCCATGCAGTGCATGCTCATGAGGCCAACTGCCACTTCCACTGTTGAATCCATGAATAAGTGCTTGCTCTGCATGGAGATGAGTGCCGTTCCCATATGCTAGGTTTTATTTTGTAGACAGAACAGTTGACACACTTTTTGTCTCAAAGATCAGAGTGCAGGGCATGTTTGTGTAAGGACAAATTACGCAGCGTAGGTGCCTTTGTGTTCCTTAGCTTGGAACACAAGCTGATATTTCTGCGTAGAGGTGGGTGCTTCAGCAGTTTTTTGAATACAGTGCATCACATATGCAGAAAAACTAATGTTTATTTGTGTTTCACTTAATGAGTGAAACAGGATATCAACTTACAAGGAGCGAAGATAAATACAGTATTCACGATGCCCTCTGGCATATTCACCCTCACTTTGTTCTCTTTCTCTCCTTCTCCCTGCTCACATATATGCACAGTACATGTGAGCACACACATATGCAGACATTTGATGCATGGCTTTTATTAGTGCATTTGCCATTGATTGATTAGTACTTAGTATTAGTACTTCTTCTATTGATTGATTGCAGATGAAGTGACTATTTGACCTTTAATTATGAGCCTTGCTATTGAAAATGACATTGAGCTATGGCTTCACATAATCCATCTGGAAAGCCCGACATGATGCCATTCCCTGGAGTTCATTCAGTGAGAAGAGAAGAGGCCTCAAGGAAGTGCAAAGCTATCAGTGTGGCTCATCTAAAAAAATACTGCAGTTGTTGCTTGCACTTACACAAAAGTTGCAGCCAAGTACAGAAGATTATTTTATTTTTTACAGAGAGTGAATTGCTAGCTAGAAATTACAACTTAAAAGTAAATGCAGGATTGTAAAAAAATACTTTCACTTAAATTCTTTGTATTTATTATGTAAAATTATTTTATCAGCAAAAGAATTGAGTATCGCTGCCTATTTTGGCTACCACAGGTGCAAATGTTAGTATTATAGGTGTGGTGAATGGCAGATTGGTAAAAATTCAAAACAAACCAACAAAAATAACCCCACCTTATAGTAAAAATCAGGGTATTGTTTATGATGCAGAGTGCATTGTTTGGATTTATCAATGTAGCAGCTCTTTCACCATGGACTTCTTAAAGTAATGCAATCAAAGTTTCTAGGCTACAAAATACTTTCAGGAAAGAATAGAGTTCATTTTGCAAGTAAAAGCCAAAGTGCTAACTTTCTTTTGTATTGTTTTCAATTCATTCAAATTTCTTTTTTAAATACTCAGCTTCTTACTGCATGAGTATGGAACTGATAGTCTGTACTTGAACAATTCTTAAAAGCCTGCTCTAATGCA